TAGAAATATTTTTTGTCTGACCAAAAAAATGAGTGCATTGTGTTTTTAACGAATGCTACTTACGAGGTCCAGATCTTGGAACCTAGCCTACATCGTACCTAAGAACAGAATCCGTCCAGACTGTTCTTACTATTCGATCTCAATTACATACGGGTACTGCTGAAAGTTACGAGGTATCTTCTATGATGAAGAGAACAAACCTTTCAGTTTCACAATACATCACACGTCTTCAATTCAATTTTATAAGTTTGTTTAGAACCCATATAGGTATTCACTCAGTCTTGCGCACAAGAACAAAGCAAGCCTTACGGTATTTTATAGGATACGTTTTATTAGGTATTGCACGATTTAATTCCTTCATCCCCCTTTCGTTAACGATAATCGTGTTCAAGCATTATACAGTTTGTATCAAAAAACTAGATATCATTTATGGTTTGTAATGATTATAACTTTATAATAACAACTTTTTATATACTTAACTTATATTTTCTCGAAACTTTTTAGAATTTTAGAAGTAACTTGTCAGTTTACATTTATAAAATATTATTTCAAGATATAGATCTGCTATATTTGATCGATTTTAGTTTAGTGATTCTTCACTATCTATATACAGATATACCTATCTTAAAGAATTTCGTGTTAGTGTGTTTCACTGTTTATAACTCAAGAACGGCCGTACGAATATGGCTGGAAATTTGTGGGGAGGTAGAAGTTCGCCTAGTCAGCTATACATTTCTGATTTTGAAACTAATGCGGACAAAGTCGCGAGCAAAAGCTAGTTTAATATAAATATGTAAATACAAAACTAGTGACATTTTGAGTAAAGCATCGAAATTAACAATAAAATGTTTACGTTTTAACTTTACTCTCCGATTACTTAAGATTATTTATTTTGTTTATTTCTTATACTAAACAAACATTATTTACATTATTCCGGTTTATATCACATAAATTTAATATAACTTTTTTCTATGTTATAGTATAGTTATTATAATAATTAAATTCAAACACGCCTTAAAATATTAATTATATTTTGTATAGTCTTGAAACCTTATTCACTTCTCTTTTATTGTTACTATCAAAAATATAATGTTAATGTTTTAGTTTCAAATCATAATTTTCTTTAAATGTACATTAAAAGCTTTATGAGGTACGATTGACTAATTCCTTTTTAATACTTAAAAAACGATAACCATATTTTCAATTTAACAGATTATAATTTAACATTATTGGAAGTAGTAGATATATATGGATGTTTAGTCTAGTTTAATTAGAAAAATTTAAAATATATATGAGACGAAACCTCTCAGCATTCAATGGAATCACCGTGCGGGTGCCGGGTCCATCGTTGCAGGGAGAGGAGCTTCAACACTGCCTGAGACTTGCGATCCAGGTGTAGGTTTAAGGGGCCCTTAACTAACGCGCGTTATACGCTCACCTCTACTGTCCAAGCTCCTCTCCCTATCCAACCAAATTTGAAAAAACCTACTAGGGCTGCCTTCGATGTACGTTCCAAGAATGCATTAATGTGAGTTCTGGACAAGCCCAAGTCCTTTAGTAGGTTGTAGAGAGATTTCGCTGTTATACCTCTCGCTCCCACCTCTACCGCGTACAAATCTACTACGAACCTATTTCGACTGAGTTCGTTTGTGAGCTCATAATATTTGTTGACCTTGATGGTATGGTCTTTGGGAATGTTGGTTTCCCAAGGGACCGTAAGCTCTATCATCACTACGCGCTTTAAAAAACAGAAATATATCCGGTCTGGAGGCCGACGCACAAATATCCTCGGGGATTTTATATTGTTTTTCATACGTGTCCATCATTATAGTCCAATCCGACGCCGCTTTAAGGAGTAAGGCTTGACATTTGATTTTGTAGCCCTAGTGCCTTCTCTCACATCAACTCTCTTTTATTACAACAAAGGTTGAGTATTTTGTTTCTTACAAACACGTTTTGTTTTTTTTTAATTATCTTATCGTGTTAGATTCCAGTTTTAGAACGATTCTCACTTTGTACGTCTGTTATATTATTAATGGTTTTCAACATTGCCTATCGACATGTGTGTATGTGTATTTTAAACATTGTAAATTAGAAAGACCTCGATATACAGCACCTTGATATCATTATAGATTTCACAATTATGATGAATAATCATTTGATTCATATTGTTGAAGATTTTATGTGGCCACAAGGTCAGATATTTTATTAAAAACGCTACATCATTCTGTGCACTTGTCCGCCTTTTGAATACTTTTATTCATACAGGATTTTGTGTAGTATCTTCTTTGTGTTATATCATAGTCAAGTCAAATCATCTCATTATTTTATAATTTTATTTTTATTATCCGTCTCTTCATATGCTATCATTGTCCAATTACTTTTTTGTAATGCTTCGATGGTGGCGGTCAAGACTTATCATTCATCCTTCAATCCAAAGCATTCATGGTTGGTTTTCTTTACGAAATATATTGATTTATGTTTTGAATTATATAAACAAAATAGGTAGATAATATGAAAACAACATGCGTTCCTAATTCTTGCTAACAAATTGTCTTTATAAGCTTATTAATTATAACTAAGGAACATATCTATATAATATTTGAAATGCATACAGTTTTAATAAACAAAGTTATTTTATTGATATAATTTACGTATGCTGATGGACGTCGGTAAAAAAATTAGAGTCACTTCGATTACATATCTTCATTATAAACTGCAGTAGCTTTATGGCATGGATCTGAAATATCCGACTTAAGTTACCACTAACAAGGTCGACGAAATTTTTGGTAAAGTCAAAAGCACTTGAATATTTCACTTGTAGTACGAGCCTTACAACTGTAGCGACTGTAATTAAATAAGGTTATAGTCCGTTAGACTTAAGCTGAGCTTTGCATTTGTGTGAGTGAAAGTAAAAGTAGAGTTAGAAAAAAAACTTTTAGAATTAAATTTTACTATATTTAAAACAGATACATAACATAAGTGCTATAAAATAAGCAAAACTTGTAAAAGTCCAGATGGAAATATTTTGAATATTGAGGAAAAAAAATTATTGAATAAAAAGAATTTTTTAAAAACTACAAATTCTTATTCACTTGACATTGCTTTTTCAACTTTTGATATTGCTACCAATACAAAAGCTGAAGTGAGGAAGGTGCGGGGCGAAGTAAAAGCAGTACAAACCGGTTTAAAACTAAAAAAGAATGTTTCATTCAAAAATTTGACATCTCACCTACAGTATCCGTGTGCACTCACACAAATGCAAAGCTCAGCTTAAATCAAACGCACTATACTAATAACTAGTTCTATGTATCGAGCTTCACTTCTTCGACTTCTAAACAAATAAAATAATACTACGTATATAATAATATTAAGTATATTCTCTTGTCAAGATCAAGAAAGCCACGGCAAAGACTTAAGACATTGGTTGCTTTACATTTGATAAACATATTTAGAATCTATATGAATAGGGGGGGGGGAGGGGTGCCTCTACGTACCTACTAGGCCACCAACGAACACAAAAAATATAAATTAAGATTTTTGATTTAATTAAACATAGTTTATATCTAAGTATGTCGCCAATTCGAATTCAAGGTTCTTATAAGTTATATCTAGCAACGACAATGTTTTGGTAAATAGTTTCTAGTCGTTAATTTGAAACGAAACAGTTCTTAGTTGGTACATTCATAAAAAAGCAAATCTAAATATAAGCTAATATTTAGTATAACTCTATTAATTGAACTCTCTTGAAATATATACTCATCAGGTAGTTTTTTTTTTTCGGAAGATTCATATAAGTACTGACAATTTTTTCGCTATCATTTTTGTTTTTCTGTCTAAACTAATCTTGATTTTTTATTTTCAGCGTAACTTCCACTGGTGTCCTACAAAATGATTGAAGCAAGTTGATACTAGATGTTTAGTTACTTACTAATTGGTTCAGTATTATTATAAATTTTAATCAGTCATAAAAATAATTTTAAGGCTTATAATATACTATTAAATTAGTACGGCAAAGATGGCTTCACATGTAAGAAACAAGCATAATGATTTATGTTTTATAGCCTCAATTTATTTGTATACTAACGTTGCAATTAAAAATACGGGCTAGAGTATATTGTAGTTGTTTACTTTTTTATTAAAGCACACTCCTTAACGCCTACAGTATCGCCTCGATTCGCCTAGTATTTGTGTAAAAACTATGTACATATTAACAAGTTTAGTAGAAGGCCCAAATGAAGGTGGATATGAAATATTCAAGGTTATACAAGCATCTTGTGTCATTCCTCCCACATAATATTGCAGTTATAAATCAATAGACCTTACATACTGGTAATTTGAACGTTTCTCAATTTCATTACTTTTAACTCAGTATTTTTCTCTTGTAGCCCAATCTCGATAGGTCAAGGTAACAAAGGTATAATAATATCTAGAATAGCATTTAAATTAAATTATCATATATAATTAATAACTTAAAAAGGATATTGAGAAAGAAATCATGAATATAATTTATTTTCATGTGAATATTTATGAAGTGATTGATTTCATAATTATTTATAATTATAAAATACAAAATACAATGAAATAAAAAACATAATAATATTATCGCATTAAAAAATTTATTATCTATATAACATAACATCGGACCATAACCGAAAATAAACAGACGGGTATATTACAAAAAATAATAAAACAAGTCTGAATAATAAATGTTTCAAGAAGATACCGGTTCAAACCGGTTACAAGTAGTTAAAAACCGGTTCATACTAGAAATTACCGGATTTGAATATTTTCCACTCGATCGATGTAGAAAAATGGAAGCTTGAATGAAAAACTCACAGCTTTTTCTTAATAAACACTTATAATGCATGAAAATTGTCAATGTACAGAGCATTGCGGTTCTCAATATATCAATATCTGTTATACATATGGTAAACATAACAACGTACAAACAAAAGGACTTATTTACAATGTTCGTTTGAATCCCTTCATCGTATAGTTTACATAAAGTCGTCGAAGTCGTCGTCAAAGGTTCCGTAGGCCTCGTACTGGTTCAAGTGAGCCTGCAACAAAAAAAAAAATCTAAGTCAATATTATACATTATTAAAATATACATTTATTTATAGGGCTGGTATTTAAACAGTAAATGTATAACTGCTTATTAAATTATTATACAATATATAAATATAGATTTAAGATTAATCTCCGGGAACTATATGTTTTTAACACGCTTTTATAAGCTTGGGTTGTGTGTAACTGGCTATGTAACGGAATCTTTGAGCAAGATTTTTAAATCATTTTAGAAGGCTAATAAATTTGCATAAATATCAGGGACTAAAGACGATGTAATAATTTAATAAAAGTTTTTCATTTTCCTTATTAAAACTGCATTATTAGGGGTGCATTTAAATAAAGTCATATCTTTCCTCTCATAAATAGTTGCCAATAGAATGATTGTGACATTCATAACAAGCACCAAACGCTTTTTACTTTTGAATTAAAATATTTTTTTTGTAATTGAAAATTATTTTCTATTTTTTAGTTCACTTAGCTATAAGAGCGTGTTTTTTTAAAACTATTATTTATATGTAATGTAAAAGCGAAAATTTTGCGTTATATGGATGTTTGTAACATTTTCACACAAAAATTATTGATCATAATTATTAAACTTCACAGAAATGTTCCTTACAAATGAGAATAAAATAAACATAAGTTAAAAATTATTCCGAAGTTACGTGTAGTTCCATAACAGTTGCATTGTATAAAGTTATGTTACACATACATTATATAGATGTCGCTGATAGTGGGTTATCTACCTATTATAGTAAACACTTCACCTCTCTAAGCCCATTCCGAAGCTAATGCGGACAAAGTCACGCACAAAACTAGTTCAATAAAATATGAAATGGTCGTAGATGTAAAGTAATAGTTTTAAAGCTCAATGAAACTTTTGTAACACCAATGACGTCATTGTTAATATTGACATCGCCCTGCTAATATAATTAACAAAATATTTTCGTTTTGTTACTCAAACAGATACAGTGAAAACAAATTAAAATTACAATTAAAATCAAGTTCAGTATAAGAGATTTCTACATAACATTCATCCCTACTAATATTATGTATAAATGCGAAAGTAACTCTGTCTGTCTGTCTGTTACGCTTTCTCGCCTAAACCACTGAACTGATTTTAATGACATTTGGTACAGAGATAGATTTGGCCTTGAGAAAGAACATAGGATAGTTTTTATTCTAGACTTTTGAAAGCTTCTCTTGGAAACGCGATATAACCGAACTTGATGCGGGCGGAAAGGTAGTATTGAATAAATAGCGTTTTGTTTCATAATATAAATAAAATATATAAGGCATTTGGCAACACTATCAATATACTCACACTCTCCCCCTCCACTTTTAACTTAGCCTTGCCCTTCCCCTTGTTGGGTTTCTTGGCCTTTTCGTTTTTCTCAGCTTTCTGTTTTTCAATGTACAGATTGTCAACCGTCATCTTTATCCTCTTAATGTCAGCAGATGACACTGAAAAAAAATTCCTTGATTAGTTCATGAGATAACATTTAACAAATAGATTTAACAATTTAATACTATATGGTGATTAGTTGTTTAGTTATTAATAAAATTATTCCTTAATAATTCAGTATACAGCATAACTAGCTTTCCGCCCGCAGCTTCGCCCGCGTGGAGTTCGGTTATATCGCGTTTCCAAGAGAACTTTTCAAAAGTCTGGGATAAAAACTATCCTATGTTCTTTCTCAAGGTCAACTCTATCTCTATACCAAATTTCATTAAAATCAGTTCAGTGGTTTTGGTATGAAAGCGTAACAGACAAACAGACTTTACTTTCACATTTATAATATTAGTAGGGATTTAACAATATTTCTAGGTTAGTCACAGTATTAAGTATTATAAAAATGTGAGAGAAGGCACTAGGGCTACAAAATCAAACGTCAAGCCTTACTCCATCCTTAAAGCGGCGTCGGATTGGACTATAATGATGGACACGTATGAAAAGCAATATAAAATCCCCGAGGATATTTGTGCGTCGGCCTCCAGACCGGATATATTTCTGTTTTTTAAAGCGCGTAGTGATGTAGAGCTTACGGTCCCTTGGGAAACCAACATCCCCAAAGACCATACCATCAAGGTCAACAAATATTACGAGCTCACAAACGAACTCACTCGAAATAGGTTCGTAGTAGATTTGTACGCGGTAGAGGTGGGAGCGAGAGGTATAACAGCGAAATCTCTCTACAACCTACTAAAGGACTTGGGCTTGTCTAGAACTCACATTAATGCATTCTTGGAACGTATATCGAAGGCAGCCCTAGTAGGTTCTTTTCAAATTTGGTTAGGTAGAGAGAGGAGCTTGGACAGTGGAGGTGAGCGTATAACGCGCGTTAGTTAAGGGGCCCCTTAAACCTACACCTGGGTCGCAAGTCCCAGGCACTGTTGAAGCTCCTCTCCCTGCAACGCGATGGACCCGGCACCCGCACGGTGAATCCATGGAATGCTTAGTAGTTTTGTCTCATCTTACTTACTTTGTACTATAATATTCCTGACCAGCTCATCAACAAATCCTGGAAATTCATCCTTGGCTTTGTAAATGTTGATTTTTTTACACAGAAGCTCCGCGAAATCAGTGAATTCCTGTTTATTTGTCGGATGGAAGCTATCTAGTTTGCCGGCTCCTTCTGTTACACCTGGAAATACAAAAAACACTGATTGAGTTTACATACACACTAGATAGATATTAAAACTAAATATTAATACTTATTACTTATATAAAATATAAATAAATAACTTATTAAACAACAAGAAAATCCATATATCCAATTGAAGTTACATAAAAGATGTATTATATTACTTTAAACTCATCGTTTAAGTTACATTTGAAAGTAAATTTTAATCAAGTATTTTAAAAACAGTGTGATAACTTTGATTATATTATAAATCATTACATAATGTTCAAATTTATATTAACATTTAATACACAAGGTCATATTTAAATCTATAAACATGTTTTTATTTTTTAGCTGCATTTTATATGTATTGAGATCATTTAAATTCAATGATAAATCTTTGGCTTTTAAGTAAAGAATGGAAACACTTCTATGCCGCTTTAAAATCTCTTAAATTATGAGCCAACATTATTTTCAAGCTAACATTTACATTAAAAGCCATTTTAAAAACTTTGTTTGTTTGCTCAGACTAATCTCTGATATGACTGTACCAAATTTGATGCAACTTTCATTTGCGGATAGATAATGTAGAAGAGCGTAACTTATGATTAGGGTCCGGATTAATATGTAATTACATATTTTTAATTTACACGCTTTTCGGTCTGGAATGTGTTTTTTACATGGATTGTCATATTTAGACTGAAAACCAACTTTTATTTTCCATATTTCAAAGTTAAGTCCATATTTTACAAGAAAATGTCACAATCATCCATATATACACAAAAATACATAAAAATTATGTTCCCGCCACTAATGTTTTGGATAAAAATAAAGGATTTAATACGCTAAAAAAATTAATAAAATTCTGTGCGAAAGTTTCGAGGGCTGTAGACATGGCTTACACAATTACTGAACTAAGCATGTTTAAGTATGCATCCATCACGTCATGTGACTTTAGATGAGACCAATCAGCAGATGTAATGCTAAATGTTAACCAAATGGTCAGTTTTCATTTTGATAATTTAAAGAAGCACGTCATTGTGGATTGCAACCCGTTTGATAAGGCTAGTGTAATGGAAGTTGAATAAAACTGTTATTTTTGTTGAAATAAATATTTCGCTACTTTTTTTCATCTTTTTTTAAATGTAACTTAACGATGTTCGTCACGAGTGACCCTTTTCTTATAGTAAAACAATGTTCAATTATGAAAGTATTTAATTTTATACTCCATATTTTTTCCATATTTATGATTTTTTCGTCAATATTTTAGATTTTTTAATCCATATTTATCCGGGCCCTACTTAAGATTTTTTACGTAAAAAACATAAAACGTCTTAATTCAATTATATGTATATTGCAAAATTACCCCTACAATCATATGAGGATGTTCAAAATTATTTCTCTACCAAAAGGTATTGTCATGAGGTACACTTGTTGTCACTAGGTGGGTATCTAATATATGGGTCCCTGACAAATCAAATGAAAAGTCTTAAAGAATTCAGACATGCATCTCAAAAAGATTCAAAATATGGACAAAGTCGACTTTAACAGCTAGAATTGTTTAAGTGTTATACGAAATCCAATATTATTTAAGTTTATTTTAATTATATTATCGTCCTCGTCATCAGCCTATCAGAGCCCACTGCTGAGCAAAGGCATCGTCTCACATGGAGAAGATTTGAGCATTATTCACCACCATTTCTCAAGACAGGTTGGTGATTTCAAACTTATAATTGTGAAGTTATAAGTTAGGTTTCCTTAAGATTATTTCCTTCACAATCTGTCAGTGGTGTCTAATTACTCTTACAAAGTACACATGACTCGAAAAAACCATATTGGTACTTGCCAGGATCGAACCCGCGCCCTCATGCATGAGAGGCGCGACTTAGCCACTAGGCCACCACTGACTCAATTATAATGTATTAATATACTACTGATTAAAATAAATTTTGCATGATTTACATTTATTTAACTGTGAAGGCTAGTTTTTTTTTTAATGACACATGTATTTCATCAATAGTCATACAAAAGAATATGAAACAAATACATTGGTTTCTGTAGTGCATGTAACTCCAGCATAGAGACTTTCTTCAGAAACATTCAAATCATTATGAAGTGTTTATTTATCTTAAAAAACAATAAATATAAAATATATAATTAAAAATTTACTAATACAAGGATTTGAACCCAGTATAACACATTAGTCATATTTTATTTTATAAAACCTTTCTTAAATTAACAGTAAGATTATCTAACCAGATATACATACATATAAAACGAATTTCTTCTAAGCTTGTTAAAAATAAATACAAAATGTCCCTCACCAAATGTCTCCAAGGCCAGCAGTAAGTCAGATTCCTCTTGTAATTTCTGTTGACGCAACTTCTCAGCAAGCTTCTCTTCCGGAGTCAATTCTTCTTTCTCCACAACTTGTTTTGCTGATTTTTGACGTTCCAGACGCTGAAATGATAAAAAATATTAAATTCTCCATGATGTCAACATTTAAAGACAAAATAATCAAATAAATAAATTATAAGTACTGTAATTTCCCTATATAATTAGTATTTAAAAAATATATGTGTATTTGACATAAAACATCTAAGATAATACTTAAAGATTGACACCAATATATATTCTTATCTTAACAACAATGAAGTTATGTTTTAAACATAAGAAATTTAAAGTATTTTGGGAAACACATGTGATATAAGAAATCATAGTATAGTGTTATAGATACATTTATATGTATATGTATTAAATTCATTCATAAATTCTATTTATATTAGAAAAATATGTATAATATTTCACTTGTATTAATAATTTTCAGTGTATGTTGCTCTTATGTATGTCAATGAGTTTCTATAGTGTATATACTTATGTATATACTTAACAAAGGGAGTTATAAGTCTTCATTTATGTACCTAGTGATAGTATGTGCACATTTTAATGACTAAAAATTTTTTCATCATTTGTGTTTGGCTAATTATTAAGATGATGTTTATATTCAATATTCATATTAAGTAAAATTACTTACTAAATATACAAAAACTAAATAAATGTACTGAAAAATGTGTGTATGTTTGTCACAATTGGCATCTTTAATTCAAAACAATGTGTAAAATTATTATAACTTAATTATTTTCAATCTATTATGCAGTTTTATTAATATAAATATAGATTGTGTAGGCATTTCGTTTTTATTAATATAATTTTATTAATATAATTTTATTAATATTTTATATATTAGCATTAATTTAATAACCAAACAATATTTGCAGTTCAGTGACTGCAACTATGTATATTGTGTAAAAAAAATAATCTTTACATAATTTTCACAGTTACTTAAAAAATAGCTAAGTGTTATGAATTGTATCTAATCAAAATTGTTAATAGCACACCACAATCTTGTATATTTTAACTAAAAACCTATGATTTTTTATTTTTATTGTTACCAGGAATTATGAATGTTATGCATATTTATATATGTTCACTTAACATGACAAAATATAATTTTATTTTAATAATACAACTCTTTTATCACAAATATGTTGAGAGCAAGACCACAGTCGCTTAATAATTAATAAATTTATAGATTGGTTGATAATTTGTTAATTATAATCAAAGAATTATTCCCAAAATTATTATGAATATATTTAAGAATAATAACAAAGATCGAACAAATATTATTGAATTTTATACAAGTGAAGGTTTGAAAAAAAAAAAATTTAGCTAAGAGATTTTGTGCTGACACCATAAATAATGTTACAATAATAAGTCAATAATTTTTAAATATGAAAATATTTTATAAACAAACAACATATAAAATGTTCATAAACAATATTGTCTATACTTAGTTAACGGACATCTATTCGTAATGACCCTTATTTGAATAGTCAAATTTGAATTTGAAATGACAAGTCTTATCTAGATAAAAAACTATTAATTTATATGAAAACTATTGAGAATAAGGTAATATTAGCTATCCTATCACCAATAGAGAAATTCTCTTTAAATGTCTTAAATATTTTTTTTGTACTAGAACAGCTGGTTTTGGTATAATTTTGTAGATGAATCATATTAGAGAAAGGAATTTATTGATAATACTGTCATTTTAACTCTTGAATAAGGTCATTTACAATTGTCTGATAATCTGTACTTTGATGCTAAGTCAATAAGTTTAGATAATTTACGAAACTTAATTATGCAAGTGATAAGTAATATTCTGTAATACTCTATCAATTTGTTGTCACAATGTTGTTACGAAAGTCATTATCAAATCGCGGCGTAGAATTTTTAGTATAAAATATTATGAACCCACCTCTTTTTCAGCAATTTTATCTAGAATTTTCTTTTTAGGTTTAGGAGGAGGCGGCACGGTTTCTTTCTTTTCTTCGTCTTTCTTTTCTTCTTCCTCGTCCTCCCAGCTGTCCTGTAAAAGAGCTGACGTCAACGCACTGCGACTGTGAGGTTATAAAACGTTGATACAATATGAACTTTAAATTAAGACACTATTTAACAACCTCGAACATTATTTGGCAGCTAATCGTGTTACCTTGACAGTTTCTTCCTCGTCCTCGCCTTCCCATTTGTTGGAAGCCAACGTGGTCGGAAGTTTTGGTTCAAAATTATCAGCATCTGTAATTTTTTTGTCATGTATAGAGACAACAATTAATAGAATGACAATATTAACACGTTAAAACCATTGCTCACCCCACGACACGTCCATGTCTGCTGTTTCTAAGCACAGACCGGATTTCGCAAACTTTTCACGTGAAAGACAAAATCGGACAAGCACAACAACTTGTAACTTTTTCAACACAAGATGTCTCCCGAATCGACACTAGTTAACTATCAACAACGATTCTTAGCCGAATATCGTCAAACGATAGTGAACTTTCTGCATTGACCACGAACGTATTGAGAGAACATATACAAATGACATAATTTCGATAAACTTTCAATAGAGCTACAATCTGAATTAATTTCGCAAAAATATGACTCCATCGCAAGCGATAATTCTCGAATCACTAAAATTTTTCAATATGGCGGTTTGACATTTCATGTTTGTTACAATATACGAAAAAATGTTTCTAGTTTCTACATACTTTATTAAAGTACAAGATGATATAGCTTTTTATGCACATATTTTTTTAAGATGATTGTGATTATTAATAAGGTTTTTTTTATATAATACTAATTTTAGATTTATAGAACATAATTATGAACATTTATTAAATTAAAATACATATATTATGACCTGTAATCAAAATATCAAAATATTTTTTTCTTTATCTAAACTCTGAAAATAAAACAAAACAAAAATTTGTTTCATGTTTTACATTTTATTGAATTAAATTAGCCAACTAGAGTGCATTTACAAGTATTTGGCTAATTCATTATTTATTCAATAGATGTCACTATTTGCAACATAACAATAAATAGATAGCCAAAGTCAAATTACGTCATTCTTTAAACATGAAACATAGTTTGTATAATAGAAAATTAAACATAATGAAAAGCTTTAAAAATGTATTAACTATTACCAGGAAGCAATTTTCAAGAAACATGTATAAAAATTATTAAAAGCATAATATTAAGATTATTACGAAGATCCTTTGTCGTATATTTATGAAAATCTTTTGTTTAAAAGTATAATAAGAAAGTTTATAAAAAGCTATTGCATAACACCATATTATTCACACTTATTACATAAGTAAGACCGAATGGATGAAAAAAATATTTTAGCAAGTGAAATGTGATCCAGACATACTTATTGATGAGAGGCACGTCAATTCGATTAAAAACATTTTTATGACTTGTTAATAAAAAATAAAAAAATCACGAAAATATAACTTCAAACGATATATGCTTAAAAAATATTGTGAAGTTACAGTATTAGTATTCCTTATTAATTAATGCTTACTTACACAAAAATAATGTATAAAATTGGTTTAAGATATATAGACTAAATAAGTTTTATCACTTAATAAGTTTTTAAAAACTATTCCATTAAGTAGTTACAAATTGAATCGAATTTTAAGTATTTCTTGTCTTCGTAGTTTGTAAGTATCAATGGGCGGTTATGACTTATGCGGTAAACGAAGCGTTCATTTCAGACGCCAAATACTAGAGGGCGCTCAATGATAAAGCAAAATAAGAGTAATTTTATTTTATAAACATATTTTAGGCTAAGTTTTTTAATCTTTTTGATATCGCGACCCCTTTATGGGTTGCGAAATTTTGGCTACCCCCTTGTTCCATAGATAGGCAAGGAAATTATTAAATTAAATAGCCAAGTTAAAGTCACAGTAAACATTCTCTGAAATGCTGGACATCAAAACAAAAAAGAGTAATAAACTGCAATTCTTCAATTCTTTCTGCCGGCGACCCCAAGTCCTCGCGACCTCAATAGGGGTTAAGAGATGAACGAGACATGAGTAGGTACTTCTGAAATCTTTGTCGACCGTAGACGGTAATACGCCTAATTTCAATTGTTCACTTCAGGGAATGAGTCCAATATTAACTACTACTATAACTACTATATACTACTAACTACTACTATACTAATAATTGAGTCCAATAATTACCTTCCAATCAGTATTGTTATAGCTAAACGAGTATATTAAAAAGACTAAACAGGAGAGGGGCCATGATTGTGTTTCACCTCATTCTATAATTTACTTAGGGCCGACGCTGCTTATTTTAAATTCAAATTTTCCATACTTTATATCAATAAACTCACCATAATGAAGTTAATTTAAAAAGTTTATTTTCAAATAGAGTTTTTATCTATGTATTATTTGTTTATCTATCAATATGCGTATGATTTGTTTAAATACTTTACGCTTAAGCACGACCAATGCGATCATAAACGTTAAAATTATTTACAAAAATGGCTAAAAAGAAAATTGAATTATTTATTAATATAGACAATGAAAAAGAGTTTGAGAATATGATAACGACTAATTCGAAAACATTGATTTGTGAGTTAATACTATTATTATAGTTTAATATGCCTATTGTTTTTTTTATTATTATAAAATCTTTGCAGGCGCTGACTTGTATAATTCTTACGCTGGACCCTGCGTTGTGTTAGATCACCTCTTTATAAGAATTAAATTGGACTGGAGTGATGATAAGATTATTCTTTTGAGGGTATTTAAATGTTGAGAATAATTTTACGAAAAATATTATGTATCGATTTTTAAATATCATTTAATATCGATGTTTTCTTTAGATCCGAGTAGACGATATACCATCACTTGAAAGGTTTAAAAATCATTGTGAACCAGTCTTTGTATTTATTTTGGTGAGGTCGTTTTTGTTTATATTATTATATAAAACTACATAAAATATGAGACATACTAATAGTAAATTAAAAACAGGATAAAAGAATAACGAAAATATTTCGTGGCGTAGATAACATAAGGTTCGCTGAGGTTGCTAAAAAGGAGGTTGAATATTTTAAAAGCAGACTGGAAGGGGTCATTGATGATAGAAAAACTTACAATTTCGATGAAGTGCTACCAGAAGAACAGGTAATTAATACTGATATAAAATTTGAATGTAATATAATAAAAAGGATTAAAATAATGGGAGTTTAAAAGGAATGGGTGAAAAAGCTTGTTTTGGAGCAAAAGCAGAGAAAAGCTATCGTTTTGATGAGGAAGAAGGAAAGGCAAGCTGCTCGCAAGCGTCACCGGGCTGAGCTGATGGTTCCTTACTTAGAACACCTTAATTTCGTGCTGTACTGGCCTCATGCTGTTCACGCTCATCCCGAGCTATACGAACGATGGGATGTTAACAGTTGAGCGATTTTAAAATATAACCTTTTTTTGTAACTCATCCTTAGTTTAGTATGAACCTAACTCAATAACCAAGAAGGTTTTATATACTTGTATTAATGGCTGTTTTAATGCTCGATCAATTTCACAATATATGTATGTATTTTTCAATTTAAGATCGTATAACTAAATCCCTACTAGTTAATATTATAAATGCGAAAGTAACTCTGTCTGTCTGTCTGTCTGTTACGCTTTCACGCCTAAACTACTGAACTGATTTTAATGAAATTTGGTACAGAGATAGAGTTGACGTTGAGAAAGAACATAGGATAGTTTTTATCACAGACTTTTGAAGAGTTCTCTTGGAAACGCGATATAACCGATCTCCACGCGGGCGAAGCTGTGGGCGGAAAGTTAGTTAGTATTCTAATAAAATTAAGTGATGTTTAATTAGATATATTTCAATAGATATCTACATAATTTATGTTAAATTTGATTTCAGATATAATAATGGTTGGTCGCGAAGAAATTCAGCTCACGAAAGAGATGGCTGATGATATTTTATATGCTGGCGATGCTCCTATCAATGAAGCGTCTATGCATGTGTTGATATCTGGACCAGCACTCGCAATTTGTTTCAGACTGCTTGACACAGACAAACATTTCGTTTGTTAGAACATTTTATTAAATAAATTGATCTTAGTATCTCCCATTTAGTAGAACAAACTATTTTACGAAACTACATAACATACTCGTACGTCTTCTTCTTCTTCTAGAAGATGTATGTTAGCTGTAGTTACATAACATACATATTTCTTATTTACATTTTTAGGTATTCTAAAAGATTTGTTTATTAACAAAAGAATAGGATTTCCGAAATAATATTTTCCGTAATCATTTCAATTAAGTATATTATTATAAACTGTTCTTTTTAGCTCGAACGAATATTTTCTATAATTTATTAATTAAGTATATTATTATAAACTGTTCTTGCTAGCCCTTGTCCGCAAAATACTGTATGAAGATTTAACACCCATTGACGATAGTAAGCCCCTTGAAATGCAACTGCCACAGAGAACGGCCTACGATTACTACAAAACATACAGTTTAACGAAGGAAGAGATACTAAAGAAACGTCGTGAGGAAATTATTAAAAGAAAGGTATTCTAGGCATATATTTGCTGATAGTGATTTTTATAATTAAATTTCCTTTTTGCTAACTTCAGAGTGTATATAGTATGTAGCACGACTTGTGATAGGTCCGGTATTAACAAGTAAAACACGACTACCCACATTTAACCGATCTGATATATGTATATAAATATATATATTATAAAATTATCTGTCCCCCTATATAATATCAAATAAAAGAAGATAATAATTTAATTTCAATATGAAATTTTCTAAATTGGATGTTCTGAATGTATAAGAATAGTATTATAGTATTGTTTAGCTCTAAAAGAGTAGATATATAATATTTAAGATGAACAATTTTTCGTTTATTTAAAATTTGTTAGTCGATTTATATCGTTTTATTATAAACAATTACATTTATTTGTTGCATTTTTTTTCAGAATATTGTAAAATAAAATGCGGTAACATTATCTTATTTTAGAATAACAATATATGGTTTTCAGCAGTAGTATAGTTTTTGTATATTTGTATTTTGTATGTGAAAGTACCACGTCATATAAGGATACATTCAAGATTATAACTTCTAATCATTAGCAATTCTGAATGAATTCAAACTTCTATAATATGGTTAAATAATAGGGTTAAATAAAACAATACCACACTTAATTATAAAACATAAAATGCTTAATTTCAATAAGTATGGTTTGTGAATTAATAAAGGAACATTTAAGAGTGCCTAATGATTATATTTTTCCTCTCGATAGGAGGAGGAAAGGGAAAAACGAGCAAGAAGACTGTCGGAAATGCAGCGTCTAGCTAGACAAGCTATTGAAGACACCATTGAAGCAAGGAGAGCGGAAAAAGAAAAAAGAAAACTAGAGCTGCTTAAAGCTGGGGTCAGTTAATATTATGATGGCTTCCAATTAATATTATTACGTAGAATTTGTTAATAAATGTAAATTAATTCATGAATATTGATAATAATCATATAACGTGTTTTTATTTTAAGAATTTATCAGCTCTGGAGACATTGAAAGAGGAACCAGATGATGAAGAAGTGGATATCACTATACCGGAGGTATGAAGGTCATGAATGATCTATAATGTTGTGAATTCTACTTAATTCTAGTAATTAACTTCTAGGAGCTATCTGAGGAAGAAGAAGAGAGTTCGGAGGAAGAATGTGATGACGAATATTTTCCACCAGCTGGTCTTGTGATACCAGGGTTTTATGCACCACCCAACGACGTATCCAAAACTAATGGATTGGCTATACTATTCCCTAATGTAGGCATTTACTTATATGAAACTAATATTTATTAAAACTAGATAATCCCGACGTTTCGGTTAATTTTTAGCTACCGCGATCACAGGCAGACGAAATGTAACCGAAACGTCGGGAGTATATAGTTTTTAATTATCAAAAAATACGTGTAGTAATTCGAAAAAATTAGTTTTATTTAAATGAATACTCGCGAAAGTTTTAGACCTCAGTAGGCATTTACTATTATACATTTTATTTAATGGTTTTTTTAAGACTTCACGCATACCGTTCTGGCAATCTAATTGTAATCTTGAAATAAATAATATATGTTAATCCAGAAACATAGGTTTGGCAGTTTAAGGAACATAGTAATCACTTTTGTATAACTTTAAACTATGATTTTCGGATGTACTAGGGGATTTTTTATATAAATTTTTCATGACTTACTTTACAGTAAACGGTAAAATATAAGAAAAATGTATAATAGTGAGTCTGTAACATATCCGAATATCAAAGTTCTATTTAAATATATACAAGTAAAAATCTTAGATATCATCACTTGAGTTATAATTTTGATATCAAGTAAAAAAGTATATTTTTCTCATATTGTTTCTAAATTTCTTATATTTTAAATTGTGTACTCTGTACAGGTTTGAAGAAGGATTAAAGTATGTTTTTACTTGCATAAAGATTAATTAAACTATATAAAAAAATGCGCGTTAATAGGCCCTTTAAACCTACCCCTGAGTCGCAAGTCCCAGGCACTGTTGAAGCTCCTCTCCCTAAAACTATGGACCCGGCACCCGCACGGTGAATCCATTGAATGCTAAGAGGTTTCATCTCTTGTGTTTCAGTTGGTGTTGGAAAATGTAACTCCTGAGCTGGAGTTTCTTCCTCCACACGTGTTGGTTATGCTCGACATAACAAAACGGTATAAAGCCATAGAAGCGATCTCAAAGTATAGACGAGAGATAATACATGTAAGTATTGAATGTTACTATTTAGTAAAGTCAAATATTTAACACGTATCTATGGAAAATGAAAAACATTAAATGAAATTCCAAAATAAAAAAAATATTTCAAATAAGTGGTATATTTTTAAAACTCTTCATGTTTTTTTTTATTGTTATAATACTGTTACAAGATATGGTATGAATGACAATATAAAAACAATATTTAACAGAAAACTCAAATATTTACAGTATTTTAATCGCAGATAATATAACACTTAATACTTAATTCAATATCGCCAAAAAATGATTTAAAATTTAAGCCGGCGTGATAATGCTTTCACTTCAAGACCTGTCAGATATATATAAATATATAAAAGTATGCTTACACCAAGTCTTCATTACCATACTACACTAGGAGCGTTAACAGTTTTTCATTCATAAATACATACATTATAGTATTAACGTAGTTTATTTAATATAAACTTGAAAAGCTTGAAATGTGTCGGCTCTTTGTGCTAAGCATATAAAATAAAGTATGATTATTTGTAACAAACATTTGGTTTGTGGATTGGCGACTCTCCTTTAAGGACTAGGTACATACACAGAAAAAATGGCCAATTTAAGTGACTAAAACTATGGAAATATATTTTTATAAATAATTAATAAACAATCATCGAACTTATTAAGCTAACAGATCAGATTGCCTGCTCCTAAAATATGTAATATGTATAATACATATGTATATAATTGTATATAATATATATATGTTCAAAATAAATCTTTCGCCTCAACAGGAAGTTTAAATATCTATGTATGTAGTATGGGTTTGTTTATTACAAAAGTGCAACAAAGTAGTAATCTCATGTTACGTGCTATAATTCTATATTCTGAGAATGCAACCTCTATTTATTAATGGATGCAGTATTTTTATGTAACCATATATATATTGTATAATATAAGACATGTAATAATTTACAGATTGGTATTTTTAAAGCTACAAATCCTTATGATGGAGAGCACGTAGCATTTAGTGTGAAACAGTTTGACAAAATCGATAAAAAATACAATGAGTAAGTAAAAACAGAATTCTTCTATAATACATTGTGTTAAACTCTTGATTGTACATAAAATTATGGTTTGTAATCTCTTAAATAATTGTCTATCTCCATGAAATATCAAATAGAAATCTAAGTTTTTGTTATCTCCAGTAATAAAATATATCGTTTTTGCTTCTTCATAAGACCGTTATGCTTACTCCAAGTTTGTATCATAATACTACGTACGGAGTATTGACAGTTGACGTTCATAAAACTTCTCACTTTATAATATTTGCGAGGTTTACTGACTGATAAATGAGAAACGGGAAATGTAGTGAGTATATACAGACTTGTGTTAAGCGTACTGATCTCTCACATAACTATATGTATATATATACTTTTTTTATACACACACACACACATACATAAATAAGAACATGAATAAAGAATACTATGAATAATTTCATATTAGTCTCAACATTGTAATTAAATCGAACAGAAAATAAATTATATTTGGAAAATAATAATAGGTATATAAAGAGAGTATATAAGAAGTAAGAACTATGACAATTATTTTATTCAGTACTGTTTAATTTAATAAATTAATTTTGTATGCGACCCACATTAAGGGATAGTCCATTAAAATAAATAAAATAAAACAAACTCGTGGTTCTTATCAACGCAAAAGTACCTTTAGGTACATAAAAGTATAGTTAATTGGAGTAAATATTATAATATTTATATTGGTATATATTAAATAACATAAATGAGAATGTACATATGTTTGATTCACGTAATTACATACATTTTATTTATATAAATATCATGCCTTCAAATATATGTACACGTATTTTTATCAAAGAGACACATCGCCAATTATAATTAAATCAAATTAATCGATAGGAATGGCTTCAAAAGGTATGTGTTTTATTATTTCCAGGGATCTCCTGAAATTGGTTTTTATGGTTTCTATAAAGAGCGACCTGGCGCTGCTGAGTCTTGTCGATCTGGGTCCGTATTATGTGAGCGCGGATGAAACATTTGGAGAGCTGGAATGCGCCGCCATGTTTGATGTGAACTACGCCGATGATTATAATGAATTCGAAGATTTCACACATTAAATTAACATAATATTATTGTGTATTATTTAATAAATATTCTTAAATTACTGTTGTTACTATTTTCATAAGAACTCGTTAAAGGTATTCTGTTTATCTACAAGTGATATGTCCTTCGGAGAAATGACGTCGTTTTAATATATGCATATATAATATACTTTAATTTTATTAAGGAAAAGGAATGATACCAATTTATATTTTATATAATGAAGAATTCAGTGTGGTTCAGATCTAAGGTACGGGTGTGGAGTTTTAGGGCTCAATTTAATACAAATTCGTTGTTTTTAAAGAGAGAGACGCCTAGTTGACGTCACTAATGTCACTTCTTCGAGAACGTTCTATGATATTTTAAAATGAAACTTTAACTGTTCTTAATGTTCTTGTATTTCTCGAAGGTTCTTCATAATCACATTATTCAATGGTCCTCACTCACTGAACTCTTTGCCGTCGTGAGTCCTGACGTCATATTTATATCAACATTCCAACATAGGTCTATTCTCCTTTTAAATAATCTTTGATTTCGTTTTACTTTTAACAATTATTATGAATACAAACAAGTTTTTATAACAATTGTGACAGGCTCAAGTTATTTTCAAGTTGCATCCGTTATTAATGCTGATAGCGCCGATATATTTATATGTATATCACATCTAAAATAGTTTTCACTAGATCAGCAGATTGAGTTCTTTTTAAACTAAGCTCCATACTCCAAAATTAATTAATTATTATTAAAGACATATATATTGTACCTATGAATATATACGGAACCATTTGTTACAGTTTACATTAGCATTTTTTTAATATAAATGTATTAAAGATGTTTTTAATTATATTAAAACTATTAAGACCTGATACGATATTTTTGACCACTCATAAATTTAAATATATGTCTATTATTCCGAAAGTGGTGGCCTAGTTATGCCTCTTATGCATGAGGACGTGGGTTTTAAACTTGGCAAGTACCAATGTGATTTAGACACCAGTGACAGCAGGTGAACTAAAACATCGTGAGCAAACCTGGATTTATAATTTTCAGTTATAAGTTTGAAATCGACAACCCGTCTTGAGCAAGCGTGGCAATTAATGCTCAAATCTTCTCCATGTGAGAAGAGGCCTTTGCTCAGCAGTGCGCTCTGATAGGCTGATGATGATTCCCAAAGTGACTTTTAAATATTATAGTTATCTAAGATTTATCTAAGTTTGAAGCGGATAAATGCATTGAAGTCAGGTTTTATATGTTGAAGAACTACATATATTAAAAATAGAAATATATAGAATATAATGAAATTAAATGTCCTATGTGTCTTTTATTATATTTACTAGGAATTATAAATTTCTTTTTCTCATATTTATTAAGAATACAATATAGATTTGAAATAAATTGTTATTTTTAAGCTAGTCAAAGATTTTCTTTAATATGTACATTTTTATTAAGGTTAACCCTTATTAATTGTTTGTCTGGTAACTGTCTAAAAAAAAATTAAGATAAATAAATATTTGCTTTCAAATACCGAGCAATAAATGTTGTATATTACAAAGTTACTTTACAGCAGAATTAGCAAGAATAATGTGTCAGTTTTTAAAATTATCCTACAATCTTTTTTGACTCGTATAAGTCTGTACAAATTTAATCTCCAATGAAAACATATATGTACATAGATTTAAATAATATTAATTAAAAACTCAACTGAATTATTTATATATTTATTTTAAATGAAGTACATTTGTTACTGGGATTTTATTAATCAAAAGTTATAGGCGACAAAAAATTATTACATATTACAAGTTAAAATTTGATTATTAATAACTAATTATTTCCCCGGTACGCTTGCATTTGATACCATGTTGTATCTTGCGTTTTGCAAAATTGTTAACCAATTTATCTTCTTCAAATACGATGTTTGATTCTGTACCGCTTCTAATATTTTTTGGGCAGTTTTCAATAGTCTTTCATCTATAACGTATTTCTGATCAATTTCATTATTTTCCACCTCCTGTGTACATGGGATTCCCTCTATAGAATTACCTTCAATCACCGGCTGGAGTACTTTAGGGTGTACTTTGGAGTAACCATTATTGTAATTGTTCAGGGCCTTGGCCAACCAATCGCAAGATAGTTCATTACCATCCAAAAATATCTTCAGGTCCTGCTTATGATGTATCCAAGTGTCATCATTCAGCCTGAGCATATTATTATAACGCAGTGAGAGTATGGTTAGAAACTTCAGATCCATAAATAACTTTGAATCCAAATAACCGATTTGGTTATATGAAAGATCTAAATTAAGAAGGTTTGATAAACCGCTGAAGGAACCGTATTGTAACTTTTGTATACGATTGTGGGATAATCTTAAAGTCTTAAGATTTGGCACGCGATGAAATGATGAAGGTCCAATTCTTTGAATTTCATTAAAACTCAAATCCAGATATGCCAATGTCTCCGGTAACTGGAGTGAGGATTCGTCTAGGCCTGATATTATGTTCCTGCTCATGTCCAGACGTAACAAATTTGGGGCATCCTTCAATTGTATGAGATATGCATCGGTTATGTTGTTAGATTTCAATATGAGTTCAGTCAAACCCACTGCTTCGTTAACTGGGATCCTTAGCACGGACAGACTGTTGTTAGACATATCCAAAACCCCTCCATCCGGATGAAATGTTATTCTCAAATTGTGAAGGTCAACTATATCATTCATAGTCAAATTGATGTGTCTCAGCTGGTGAGTGTTAATAAGGGATTTATCTGGGAAATATTCCAACATATTGTGAGACACATCAAAATTTTCTAAATTATGCATCAATGAAAAACTCCTATACTGTAATGTCCTAAGAAAATTACAGCTCAAATTAAGATATTTAACATTGCTCAAATTTTCAGGATTTACATCAAAAGTCATTAGTTTATTGTCTGACAGGTCCAAAGATATAAGATGTTCTATTGATTGAAAGGCGTTGAAATCAATGTCGGTGATGGTATTGCCTGATAAGTCAAGTTCAGTTGCAACTGATTTCTTGGGGTGCGTTTCGTGTCCAGCGTCTAGTATCATGGCTTTCGGTATATAAGTTAATCTATTCTTTGATAGATTAATTTTACATATAAAATAATCATTGAAGTGCTCCCAGTGGCGTAGAAAAATTGCATTGTTCAATTCTTCCAGATGATTGACAGATATATCGAATGTCTTCAAGTGATTAATAGTTTTCAAGGATTCTAGATCAATATTATTTAGCTCATTGTATCTAAGATGCAAATGTTTCAGATTAAATAATTTATTCATAGCGCCTTGCAAGTTCTTTATTCTGTTGTGGTCTAGTTTGAGTGTTTCTAAATTGGTCAAATTAGTGAATGGTTTGTCATTCAGGTTGTCAATCATGTTATGAGAGAGATCCAGTTCAATCAGACTTGTCACATCTTCGAACGTGTAGCCCGGGATCTCGACGATAGCGTTATATGCAAGTGATATTTTATGCAATTTAAATGGAGGTTTTTCAAATACAAATATCTCTCCGACATCTGTTAAGCCGTTATGTGATAAATCTACACTCTCCAGATTGAAGAGGTTGTTCAGAGGATTATCTTCAATTATTTGTATATTGCTATATATGACATTTAGATTCCTTAATCTATACATGTGTTCCAAAAATGAAAGTTTAGTTTGAGGCCAGTTTCCAAATACCGTGATAGTAGTTATTGCTTGTAAAATGCCCGGGTCGCTTTCGGTTTGAAACGAATCTGAAGCGTTGTGGAGGGTCAAAGCGATGGTAACGTCATAGTTACTTGAACCGCCACATTCCTTTTCCAAGTTTATATGGTTCAAATTGTTCAAGCACTGTATACGATAATCGCAATGGCTCGCTGGGATTTTGCTCACAGAACAGCATCTTATTTTATATGTAGCGGTTAATATTAGTAATGAGAATACAACTGAAAGAAGAATAAATACTTTTTTATAATAAAAAATTAAACTAATTAAATAAGTTTGTAATAAATGAATGGATTCATTTGTATAATTCTTTCATTTGTTTATTTAAATTTTAAATTTAGATTGCAACATTATGTTAAAATATAAAACAAATACATACCTAGTCTCATTTTGAGTCCCAGTTGTAGGATATAATCTGAAAAATATAAAATTTCATTCAGAGAATAGTTATAGATGCTAATTATTATTTAAGATATATCCTTCGGGAGTTTTTTATATGAAAATAAAGATTTAATTAAAAATAATAACAATATTTTCACTGGTCATCTATGTTTTAAATTTCAAAGAAGCGATTAAATATTTCAAATTGTTTTTCGGTACGGTTAGAGCTGTAAGTTGTTTTTTTTTTAATTTAAGTAATATAAAGCATATACATATATTGGGAAAGAAAAAATGTATTAATTGAAATTGATAAAGCTATTCCCAACTTAAAAGTAAATATAAAATATTTTAAAGCTTACGCAGCTGGATGCAATACGGTACTAAATATTAAACAAAATTATTTTTATGTACTGTAAAGTTTCATAAATATATGAAAAGTTTTATGATATTAAACTAACAAGTATTGTATTAAAGTTATTACAGATAGAAACATACCTATATGTGTATGGACCTGTTGCTTTGGTGTTACAAACTCAACTACAAAGTCCACTGCGACTCATAATTCGATATATTTGCTGACTTAAGAAATGAGAACAGAGGTATTCTGTCATAGATAAACTTAATAATACACATTAAATTGCAACGAGGAATATAATTCTATTAGTTCTAATGTGTTATAACATGTAAAAAAATAATTAAGTAACCTAACCTACCTGTTAATGATTAAATTATTCTGACACCCGTGAAGTACTTAATATATATGCCAGAGCTGCCTTACATTCTTTTGGAAAACATCTAATATTATTGAACTTATGGGCAGATGCTTACCAAATACAGATAATAACGACAGTAAGGAAGCGATTTTCCAAATAAAAACGTATTAGAAATCGGCCGATCCGTTTAAGAATTATATGACACAGAATGAAGTACTCTACGAATGGCGATTTTTATCTTATAACACGCCATTATTAAGTTATTTTTTTTTTGGGTAAAATTTTAGAATATAGATAAAGTCAAATCAGGTGGTCTCTTTATAGAGGCTAGATATGCTATGTGCTTAAATAGTTTAAGCGTGAACAGAATTCGTAGTATATCAAATAAATTGCATATGTACCAAAACGCTTAAAGAAATATGTATATGTATGTATACTTACATTTCTCATCATACCATTTAAATAACCAATTTTTAATTAATGCAAATGGCTGTATACATAGTACAAGTACGATAATATATTTTTTTATGTGGGTGTTTGTTACGGATAACTTCTAAAACAGACTTGAAAATTTTTGACAGATATTTAACTAGAAGATATAAGATGGAATGTTTCGTGTGTGTTATATATAGTAACTTTATACAATGATAATGTGAATAGTAGACGTTGGTTGTTCTCTTTAAATGATGTCTATGTATTAAACAAGATATCCCGTCAGCAGATAATGATGGTGAAAACAAATATCAGCATATTATATTTACATTACATATTGGTTCTTCATATATATCATTTATATATTCTTAATATTTATCAACATTCTAGCTGCCAAAGCTTATAAAATCAAATAAGAAATATACAGGACAAAAAAAATATTAATTGAATTTTTTTTTAACTATGGCCTTATAGCACTGGAGTCGTAGAATATTTTAACAAAGTCAATATTTTTAATAATATTCGATTTTAGACTTTTAAAGTAATTGTCAACGAAAATTGCCACAGTCAATAGAGTTAAAAAAAAAGGCTTACCGCAATTTACGAGGAACCCTAATATCAAACATACATACAAAGGATACAAAATAAATGATAATTATAAAACATGTTACAATTATTTTAGCTCGCTTCTTCTGAATTGGTTGTTGTTTTTTTGTTCAAATGAAATAAATTTATTGAAAATATCGTGAGTTTATTGAAAATATCGTGAGTTTACAAGTGTGAGTATTGCATATATTATTTTGTTTGGATTATTTTAAAAAGTTGTTTGAAAAAAAATTGTGGTTTGCATTTCTTTCCTCAATGTTTTGAAAAAAAATGTTTTACATTGTGACGTATTGTATGTAATTATAATTTTACATTTTTTTTTACCAGAAAATCGATATAATGAAGAAAGGAGGTTTTATATTGAGTAAGTTGCATCAACATATAAATATATATTTTTTGTATATAATATTCAGTAAATTATTTATAAAATGATTTTGCAAACATTTTGTTGCAGATTATAATAAAGATTTATTTTAAGTAATACTTTTCCCATTAATTTGCTAACTATATTATGTTATACACGGTACATTTAATTTTTCAGTTAAAAAATTCCTTTTAATTAATAAGTTGAAACATAAAACTGAATGTCATATATTAAAGTAAAGAATAATTAAGTTCATTAACCCTAGAAAGATAGTCTGCGTAAAATTAACGCATGCGTTTACGAAATATAGCGATCTCTTCCTAAATAACGCGAATCCATAGCTGTGTGTTTAGGACATCTCGTTCGTTGCTGGGAGCTTCCGCATGGTGCACGTGGACTTAAGGTAAGTGCAACCGATTTTGAAATAAAACGACCACGTGCGTCAAAATTACGCATGATTATCTTGTATGTGACTTTTATGATTTTGACTTGTACAATTTGTTTTTCTATTTTTAATGTTTTTATAACTGTATATCATTACTTATATTACTAGTTTCTTTTTATAGATATTAAAGCAACGATGGGAAATAGAAACTTAGACGAAGACCATATCCTGGCCAGTCTCATGTAAAGTGACGACGAGGTTCCCTGTGAGTATACCAACAGTGAAGTAGCGGACCATGAGAGTGAAGATGACGTGCAGAGCGACACAGAAGAGGCTTTTATAGTTGAGTTAGAAGAAGAACAGCCAACGTCAAGTGAAAGCATAACCTTAGATAGGCCAAGCACCACTGAACAACCAATATCAATGTTTTGTTTCGACGGACTCCTTACTCTCGTCTTTTATAAAGCGAAAATGGCAAGAATGGTTTACTTATAATCGTCTTGTGATGAGGATGCTATTATCATTGAAGTGACTGGTAAACCAGAAATGATTATGTATTATAATCAAACAGAAGGCAGAGTAGACACACTCGACTACATGTGTTCTCTGATGTCCTGTAGTAGGAAAACAAATAGATGGCCTATGGCTTTGTTGTATGGAATGGTAAACATTGCCTGCATAAACTCATATATAATTTATAGCCACAATGTTCATTACAGAGGAAAAAAGCCTCTAAGTCGTAAAAATTTCATGAAGAATCTTAGCTTGGGTCTGTCTTCTCCATTTATGCGAAAGCGGTTAGAAACTGCTACTTTGAAAAGATATTTTCGTGATAACATCTTTAATATTTTCCTAATATTATGTATAAGATATTCCTATTGTTGATTTTGTGAAAGAAAAGGTTGATTATATAGTTAAAAATAATTTGTGATGGAAAAAGTAAGTGGTAAAAAATTTATTTGATTTATGAAAGAAGATTATAGTTTTTAGTTTATTTTTAATAAAAAATGTTTATAAATAAATTATCTGCAGTTTTAATTATTCTAATATATATGTTAATGTATATAAGACACGTTTTTATTCAAATAAATTAATAAACCCCAACTTACAGCTAATTAAAACACATGCGTCAATTTTACGCATGAGTATCTTTTTAGTACTACACAATATGATTATCTTTCTAGGGTTAAAGTTAGTTTTTTTATTTGTAAATTTGATCAATTAATAAATTTTCAGGTGTCACAATTTTTTTGGCATATCTATTTGGTTTTGAATGTGCTACATTTGGAAACTGCTGGTCTGTTTTAAACAATGCAACCTGTTCGTTCGAAGTTACCTGCTCTGGCCCCTTCAGAGATTTTAATACCAACGTATTTAACAAGGTAGGCGATTGTCCACGGACTCTCTTCATTGAAGAAAATGGAATTTATTATGTACCGATCATTTTGATTTTTAAATCCAACTACGATTTAGAAAACGTAGACTATGACAATTCATTTATTAGGTATATGGTAGAAACATTAGATGTCAGTGGTAATAATTTAGATTATCAGCCTTCGTTTCCCACAATGTATGGTTTAAAAAGATTAATTTTATCTCATAATAATATATCTAATGCTAAATTTTTTAATCACGAACATGAACTTCCTCACTTAAGAGATATAGATCTATCCCATAACGCCATATCAAACTTAGACGTAACCGATTCAAGTAGTGATTATTGCTTTGACAAACTCTTTAAAATAAATCTATCATATAACAATATAAATAAAATACCTTATCAGTTTTTTAAATATTTCAAAGTTCTAACAACTCTAGATCTGTCATATAACAACATATCTACAGTCACGGCAGATACGTTCGAAGGTATATCAGGATTGAAATATTTAAATCTTTCCTCAAATAAAATCATTGATATAAACACGTCACTATTCAGATTCGTACAGCTAATTGAACTTAATCTCGGTCACAATCAAATATCAAATGTAAATAATAATAATTTTGTTAACTTACATGAATTAAGAGAACTGGATATTAGTAATAATTTTATTGAAAACATGGATGACATTCTGTTTGTTGATGTTATGCCGAGTTTGACAATAATCAAACTTAAATATAATCGTATAGTGGCTTTACGAAAAAATATGTTTCTGGACCTAAATAATTTGAAAGAAATTGATTTTTCATATAATAATATCACTTATTTACCCAAAAATAT